TTTTTTTTTTTTTTTTTTTTGTTGTCTCGGATATGCGGTCATCGAGTCAGAAAATCATCGTCCGCTATTTTCTGCAATTCATACTCAACGCGTTCGCGTGCGCCCTGTATAGAGAGTCATCGGCTCGGGAAATCATCATCCGTCATTTTTTACAATGTATGCACATTGTGCTCGCGTGCGTGCCTGAGTCCCTGTGTACCGAGGGGGCTCGACGGTATTATGCCGGGTAGTCGAGTACCTATCCCCCGTATAGATGGATGATTCTTTAATGCGCTCTCGCGTGGGTGGTCGGCGATAACGCGATCAGATTGGCAGTTTTCCCAAAACAGAGAATTCGATATAACGCTCGTATGTTTTTCAACTGCAGAGACCTAATCGAAAAGCTCGTATGTTATATCACTCATCCAATACAAATCCACTTGCGCGGATAAAATTAATCTTTTAACCGAGAATGATTATTTTTTATTCGCTGTGCACGAATTAATATCAATAAATCGTATCAAAACACACGAACCACTATCCATAAGTTGTTTACCGCTTTCGTTCGCTTCGGCGAACGTAGAAACAGTCTGAATAGTCTCGTGACCGATTGAGTAGAAATCCGATCTCGTGAGTTCGAGAAATTTGGGACCCGCCGCCACCTCGCGCGACGCGTCATTAAATCGGAGGATTCGAATGGGCCGATCGAACGCGACGGAACCCGCCGTTAAGAACGCTCTCGCCGCCGTAGCGCAAAATCAGTTTCCAGTTTCCACGTTGTGTACACAATGCTCTCGCGTGGAACCAATAGCCCGCGCCGGGACTGTGGTTACACATAGCCGCTTTATCATTAAGGGGAAACCTCGGTGTTCGAGCCGGGCCCATCGAAGTATTCAAATGATCGTGCACAGAAACGCCGGCCGCCGGTAGCAATCGAATGTGCAACAGTGTGGATCGTAGTCTCGCAATTAGACTCGGTCTGCGCGGTGAATCGGGATCGGTATTCCGGTGTTCCCACACGCGGGAACGCGAGCCCGGGCTCCTCTCCCTTCCCGATCGCTCGATCGGCCGCATCGCCGCCGACGCGCCTTGAATAAAATTGCCGAGATTACGTCGCCCTTAGTAAGCCTGCCTGGCACGATTATCCGGTGTCATAATTAATTACAGATTGCGAGGAATACAAATCTGACGCTCGGCGTCTTCATATCGTTGTTGTTATTCGAAATTCGCATTGCATACTTGCGTATGCAAATCCGTGACAATGGCGCGCTAATCGGATTTTGCTCGCGATATAGAATTGGAATCGCGATATTTGTTATCTTATCATCTATAGAATATTAAAAATAACGCGTAATATCAAATTTAAATATTTCGCAAAAAGATGTTATTCTCAAAATAACTTGATTTATATTTTTTGAAGTCTGTTACATTCGTGAACGTTTCTAGCATCAGCTTCTCAAATTGTTTACAAGTCGTCACACATTTTTAGAAATTTGTAAAGTTTTGTTGTAAAAATTATTGCAAGCAGATTTTGCGTTCGAAAAGTCACGAAAGTAAATTAAGATTTTTCTACTCGAGCATCAGACAGATTTGTCTAAGCCACTCTACAACGGCGAAGCGTGCTGCACGATTGCGTCTATGACCCACTGTTGCTACTGAAAAATGTATGTCGGCCGTCAGTCCTACTAAAAGGGTACATTGTCTTGCGCAAGGGATGATGTTTGAGCAAACGTGACACGTACGGTAAACTTGACGGCGCTGGCGTGACTGCCACGTGTTGAGTATGGATATACGGTGACTGAAGATAAACTAACAACGAAGGTGAGCTACGTTTAGAATTACCTTGCAATAGAAGTCGGAGAACAAATGTACGAGCATTATCAATCGAAAAATACGTCGACTTTAAGCGCCAAGCTGTCAGATTTGTCGACAAAGAATTGTTCTTCGCACATTAAATTCTCATATCATGTTTTCGATAGCGCGACTCTAATAATTTCACAGTTTTGATTTTCTTACCAACGTTTTAGAGATTCAATAACTCAATTATAATTATTTAATAGTTGTGCGAAGCTATTGAGTAACTTTTATGGAAAAATGTAAATATACATAAATTTTATATGATAAATATTTCTTCATTATTACATACAGCAGTAATATATTTATCGTATTTTAAATATAAATTTAAAGTCTACAATGTCTTGCTTATTTCTTTGCTGGCACGATATTTGGAATGAAAAATTCAAACATACCTGATGGAAGCCAAGGTAACTCTCTATGCTGTGGGTAGCGAAAAACACTTCCCCGTCGCAAGTCAGTATTAGCAGGAACCCGTTTAGTGCCTGAAACAGAAAATCAATCATATATTAGCATAATTGTACGTACTATTGTATAAAAATATTATATATCAACTAGATCGATTCATTATCGATGCAGATGAGAGACTAAATCCTCTATTAATCATCAGTCAAATAGAACACACGTAAAATTGTCTAAAATTGATCAGAATCGGAAACCGAAGGATTGCTCCGTTTACATGAGGGCAAAGTTCAAAAGGCTAATTCGTGGCTAAATTAAGAACACTGCAAAATATACGTTTAGACATTGTTAGACGTACACGTGAATACGCCCCTCGAGAATAGAACGGCGGCACGAGAACGAAGGGGTACGTTGCCTTTTCGAAATCGAAGGCTAGCATTTTGCGTTGGCGGCGTTAGTCGGAAACGTTCCGGAAAGTTTTCTCATTTGTCTGCAGATTCGATAGCGCTAAATGCCAAACGAGCGCTTACAAGTGTTCACCAAAATATCTATTATTATTATTACCAATCAATCTAAAGTTTTCTCAAGGGAGAAGAATATATTTTTACAACGTCATTCGATCAACAGGCATATTTTTCGAAGCGTTCTCAAAAAAGCAGGGAAAAATCAGCGTCCAAGAGGATTTAAGATAAATTCAAAATAAATTACCAATAATAAATTGAAGTTGATTAACCACTAGCAGTGGTTAAAGAAAGGAGAAAAAAGCAAACTTTGGAGCAAATGAATCTTGAGAATAAAGGCTACCGAGGCGGTGCACCGATAAGAATAATTCAAGGACGTAATCCGACGTGGCACACACGATTAAGCTTTCCGAAATACAGAGGCAATTTCGAGCCGCCACGCGAGAATAGTGCGGCGGCACGAAAACGGAAGGGTGCGTTGCCTTTCGGAAAGCGGAGGGTGGCGAGCGGTTGTTTCTGCCGGGGAACGCGTTGAAAACGCCCAGGGAAAGTTTTCCCATTTATCGGCAGTCCCGATACCGGCAAATACCAAACGAACTCTCCCTCCCCCTCTCCCCCCTCCCCCCTCTTTCTCTTTCTCTTGCAGCGGCTGAATGCGGCGCATCGAAGCCGAAAATATCCGTCCCAGTTTTAACAGTCTTCGGCTCGCGCACTACATCGGTCGAACGCGGGGTGGAAACCATTTAAAGCCTCGTCCGTTCCACCGTTCTGCGAGCTAAATGTGTATTGTTTTGTTTTATTTCGCAGTGGCGGTGCCAGGCACGCTAGACCAAGAACTTATTGTTCTGAAATATGGCGAGCTTACTCTGGAACCGGACGGAGCGCAAAAAGAATAACGAAAGTGTATCAATCGAAGTGTAAGCGTGCGAATTAATTTCCAGTTCATTTCCTACGTATTTTTGCTTTGACAGAAGTTTTATTTAAAAATATAACATAATTTTGAAAATGTGTACAATGTAGAAAATTATAAAATTGCGGTAAATAATACTTCCTACAACATTAAAAAAAAAGAGTTTAAAAATAAAACCCCAAATTGATTGAAGAAATTGTAATTGAAAGAACAACTTATAACTTTAGAATACTTTGTAGATTGAAATATTTATTTTCGTTGAAGATAAATTTCCGATTTCTCTATTTATACATTCTCGTCATTCTGTAACGTATGTGTGTGTGTGTGTGTGTGTGTGTGTGCGCGCGTGTGTGTGTGTGTGTGTGTGTGTGTGTGTGTGTGTGTGTGTGTGTGTGTGTGTGTGTGTGTGTGTGTGTGTGTGTGTGTGTGTGTGTGTGTGTGTGTGTGTGTGGATGGTCTGTAAAGGGTTAAGTCTGACGTATCTTCAGATTTTCCTGCTTCATCGCGCCAACGTGATGCACGCTCGTAAAGTTGCGATAATTACGGATATCTCGCGGCTTTCTAATCTTGGCTTCTGACACTCTCGCAAGAAACGTTCACGTACTTCGTAATATCCCATTATTCTCTAACATCAAATTTTGTTTCTTAGAAGTGAAGGGTTTAATCAAATTTGCAAAAACGTTTCTTTAAACAGTTATAGTTACGCATAAACTTCAAATCAATCTCTTCCAATAAAGTACACTTGCCAGTTTTGTTGTATCTGTCGTTAGAAAACGAATAAGATATAATGAGAATTATATTAGAAGTTTATGGAACTAAATTTTCGCTTTAAAAATGTTGATAAAACAAGCGGAGGAGTTGTGTGATCTAAATTAGATTATAAAATTTAATACCATTATGTCAAATAGTTCTTCTTTTCAAGATAATATAGCATACGATAGAAAGTTAAGAGTCGGCAAATCTTTATAATCTAATAAAAAAAGCTTGACATTTGCAGCTCTATCGTGCAATTCGTTTACACATATGCGAGTCCTCGCACATCTGTTATGATTAATTATGTTACTGTGTCAAACTCTCGGTTTCATTTTCCGCTCGCGGACAGAAGTTCCGATTTCGCCTTGCGATAACGTAGCATACAAAATGGCATACTTCCGAGTGATCGCATGCGCGGATGCTGCGTTTTGATTGGTTAATCCGCAGGGTGGGCCCCTGCGTTGCGTCAATACGGGATGTGCGCGAGGGGTGAGCTACAAGCTTTCGACCTTCTCGTTTCACCCCACACTGTACCACTCCGCGTAGGATACGAGCTATAATAGGATTTTCTCGGTGCGCTTCCCCCTTTTCCGTTCCTTCGAAATGGCCGACATAGCCATTCCGCGGAAGGCATCATCCCGCGAGACTCGTTCGCCGTTACTACTATAATTGCATTGTTTGGGAAGGTAATCAAGTTTTCTCGATCGACCAGCGAAATCTTCACCAATCATGACGATTACTTTGTTGGAGGCCATAATAATATAAGTACAACGCACATTTAGACTCTAAATATACAATGTTATATCTGCATTATTAATTCCGTTTTTTTTTTTAAATAAACACTTTCAAATTGTTCATAGAAATTTCTGGATAAAGTGCATTTCCAAGATTTTCTATAATTATTTTTAAATTAATACATGTGGAAAATGTGTATTCGAATTTGTTCGAAAATCTTAGATTAAAAGTATATTCGATGGACGTCCATTGAAGCTGAACCGTAGAACACCGTTCAGTTTCTTGAACTCGGAAACACGATTGCCTGTCTAATCGAATCCGCAATCTGCATACCGACGTTCCGAACGTGCCGGACTTGGCGTCCATGCCCGTGACTCCCACTCGCATGAGCGAAGAAAATAGAAAGATTTCGTGCGTGAAGTATTATTGGCGACCCGCTAATGCGGGAGAGTCAAGGTGAGGATGAAGGGGTATTAGAAGTTCACGCTTGGACGGAACACGCGAGTGCGCTCGCGAGTGGCACGCGACTGATTCGCCGAACGGCTCACGCGAGAAATAGAAAACCGCATGTGTATCTTTTTCGCCTCCTCTTCCTTCCTCTTTTCTTTTCCTTTTTAACCTGCACGGAGGGAAAAAACCCGCGTTTCCGCGATGCGTAACCGTGCCGGATTTAATTAAAATGGATTTAATAACGTAACAACACTTTTTACGAGCATGTTTCACGAAATTCCTCGTTAGATAGTTACGTTTATAGCTCCATATGAAAATACGACATTCATCATATATTCTTTATGTCGCAAATGGCGATAATAAAATTAGATTAAAAAGTCAAAATAACTGAAATGGATTAAGCTCGTTATAAATTTATCAACATTAAAAAAAATTAAACAGACATAAAGGATCACAACATATTACTCACGGAAATAATAATTATATCGTAGTTTACGCAAATCAAATACATTATTTAAAATGCTGAAATCAAATACATGTATAAATCCATATTTTTTAACATTATATTAAATATTAATTTGTCCTTACAAATAATTCACAAGAAAAATAGAAGCTAGTGATTAACAATGAAATGTAAAATTTACAGGACTTTATTTTACTCCAATATGATAGTAGAATCAGGTGGGAGTTTTTCGATCGGCTGTTAATGCATGATTCCACAAAGTAGAATAAAATTTATGTGACACACAACGAGTACTCGTGCGCGGTACAAGCAAGCAAACGTGAAGAAAAAAAAAAAAGAAACACACGCGCAAAAAAAGAAGAGAGAGAAGTCATTTGCATTTTGGGATCAATAAAGGGTGTCGAAGATAAGCAGCCGTTGAATACGAGCCGAGTGTTAACGCGTTCGTGCCGTAGCGGATATTCTCATAGGTTTTCATTTCCATACGCAATGGGTCATACGGCTCGCTGCACCGCGTTCATTGCATGCGTTATCATCATTACGATCGCATATATAGCGCCGTATTCTACCGGTACCAGTAGCCGATTAAAAAAAACAGATATCCGAATTGGCCTGGTTTTCCGCCTCCTCCTCTCCGTGCCGTTTATCTCGTTTCGGCCGCCTCGCTCCCGTTATCGGGCGACTAATTGCGTCGCGGCGAGCACGCGACCGATCCGACGACGAAACTGGATCAGCGCGCTAATGCGATCCGCCGTGGAATTTCGCTGCCGCTGTCAGCCGCGTTCAGCAATAATTCCGATAAAATGTAGATCACGGCTGTTATATCCAGAGCCATTCCGCCATTCCGCTCGGCTTAAGAGAACTAAATAACAGCTGAGAATCGCTGTTGCGCTAATATTGTAGCATCGAATTCCAAATGAGAAGCGATTAAAGGTCGATAGGATTCTCGGCTCGTATTGAGCTTGAGAAAAGTGGTTACTAGAAAATTTGATCCGTCGGAAATTAGAATTTTTAAATCAATAGTCGCTGAAAAGTTTTTCAAACTGTTTCTCACCGGGAACACTGTACGCGTATGAGTGCGTTCCTTGTGAAAAAATTATGCCTTACGACAGCTTCACCTGCTGCAGCTTCGTCGTCGTTTGTGCGTACGATAAGTGCGAGAAGGGCTCGTTCGTCACGGCACGCATCCAAGACGGAGCGAATGCGCCCGGCATCGTCTTTGTAATTCATCGGTCGCTCTCACATATCCAGCGCGCGTGACGGACGCCTTTCAGACCTTCCGTTAATTAAGCTCTTCGGCATCGTATCCTG